AAGCGTGGGAACCCTGTTATAATGGCATTTTCAGTCATGTAATCAACTCATTATTTTTAAACAAATGCATAGACAGATAAATAATATATTTATTTAAATTTAATTTACTGGTAAAGTCAGGCATTATAAGGCAGTATTATTTTAGTATCATTGAGATATTGTTATAGTTTTTATTAATTAATAATGTTTTTGTTTTTAAATTTTCTATTTTAATTGTAAAGTTTTAGCATTAAAAAATTTTTTTTAATATAGTTTTAATTTGTTTTTGTTTCAGTTGTAGTGATTTTTAAGTACTTTAAGTTAAACTAAATAAAAATGAAAAGATGTTTCCAAGGCAACTAGCCAAAATAAAGTAATTTTAACTTTTTTTTTTAAATATTTAAATTTATTTCACTTAATGTTTACTTTATTTCAAATAACAAAAATGTAGTTAGACTTTATTTTAAGGTGTGCTTGTTACAGTGTAATTATGCATTTATGTACTGAGTAATATTAATTAACTACATGTACTTACTATATGGTTAGGGTTAGGATTTGGCTTAGGGTTACTTATGTACGTAATTATGCATAATTTATTGTTATCATAAGTGCATGTAACATGTAACAAGGACACCTGAAAATAAAGTGTTACCAAAAACATTTTTAGTTGTAACTAACCCCAAACACATTATATTCAGTATAACATACAGTAGTTTAATAGCATCATTAACCTCTAGAAACTTTCACTTTGTCCCTCACACTTCACACTAAAATAAAATAGGCGTTGGATCGCTGGCGCAGCTGCATCTCTCTTGTGTAGTTCAGACACAAACATCCCTGCTCACTTTACTGTAACATTAGCTGCAATACAGCAGCAGGATTTACGGAGATTTATTAGCTAATATTGCTTTGCCCAGTTAAGATTCTGAGATTGTAAATGTGTGAAATCCTTGCGGGGCTGGTTTACTAGAAAGATGTTTTATCAAACTCACAGGCAGGTCTGGACGCATGTTCATCTTACGATCAGTTCACCACGAAAAAACTGGACAAATATAGTACTGCACAATATCTGTGGAAAGTGTTTTACAGTTTAACTTACTTTATCAGTGCCAAAACAGAGACAAACCTTTGGGAAGTATTTGTGCAATCCCATGAAGCCCAGCTCCAGAGTGAGGAACGGTGCGAAGATGGACTGCGAAAACACAAGAGACGGAGTTAAGATGAGCAGAATCCCACGCCTGCGTCTGCGTCTGCGCAGCACTCACCAGATACTGGCAGACGAAGATCCGCACAAAGACGGCCAGAGCGACGCTGCAGACGAGCCGGAAGAGACAGAACGAGTCCAGCTCCTCCTCGCCGCCGCTGTCCTGAGCCGGCTTCTCAGCGGACAGCTGTCCTCGCAGCTTCATGGCGTCGTCGAAGCGGGACAGGTACTTCTGCAGACCCCTGCGAGGAGACACCGAGCGCTCGTCTGCCGCCGCTTCATCCGAGACGCTCCCCAGAGACTCCGACAGCAGCGGAGACAGCCTCTTCGAGGAGCAGGCCTCCATCCCGTCCAGATCCAGCTGCAGCCGCGGCTCCAGGACTCTGGCTGCTGGCAAACACACGAGTCTGTGAGCGAGCAATGTGTGTGTGACCCTGGACCACAAAAGCAGTCATAAGGGTCAATTTTTTAAAATTGAAATTTATACATCATCTGAAAGCTTAATAAATAGCTTTCCATTGATGTATGGTTTGTTAGGATAGGACAATATTTGGCTGAGATACAACTATATGAAAA